AAAATTCTTTATTCTTCAAGCTTGGCATTTATTCTCAATAGATTTTTCGTAAACAGTTTTCGATAATCTATGTGTTTCCCTTGAAAGGTCATTCATTAAGTCACAGAAGTTAAAAATCGTTTTCAAAAGCACGCATTTTCGGCAAATCATATTTCATACCAAAATGAAAGGATTTTTATACATTGTGAAAAGGAATTACTTCCTTCGCTTCAAGATGTAACAATCGTAATTTGTAAGTCATAAATTGTTGACTGTTCCGTTAGCTAATTTTGTATGTATTTTTTCTGAAACAAAGTATTTATTAAAGCATTTATTTTATCCTTTTTATTTCTGCGACGAAAGCGGTACTTTTAATTTGATAAAAAGAATGATTTATATGCAACTAAAATATGTCTTTTGATTCTAAGAGAATTACATGATACATCGATAAATACGAAAATTCTCAAATTGCTTAGAGCATATTTTTTTGTTAAGCTACTAAATGGCATGTCTGATTGGTAAAATTGATATTTCCAGATATACCTATACAAGTGAACGGTGATTCTTTGCCTTTCTCAACTTGCCAGACACGTGCAAGGGGATAAGTATACGAAGAGCTTCTCTCTTTCTCAAATATGCAGACACTTGCTAGTAAAGCATTCGTCAGTCATTTGCCAGATTCTTATTACTAAAGCATTCGGGAATGGCCTCATGTCATGTTTCGGGAGGGGAATCATGTATATCCAGAAATCATTTATTAAGTTTTTGAAATTTCCACTTGTACAGAAAACTTTGATAATAATTTAGTAAATTAATTGAATTCAAACGTTGAATTTATTTAAGCTGGATAATAAGAAATTTTGCTTCAAGCATAGCTCCAGAAACTGCGAAATATTAAAAAACTAGTTCTTACAAGCTCAATCCAAAGTAAAGCGCAATATTAGTGAAATTAAGACTTTTTTAGGATGAATTAAAAGTTACATAAATAAACAGTATACAAAATTCGTGCAAATTAATACATCTACCGTCAGTCAATGAAAACAGAGACGGCGAGAAGTCTCGGAAAATTTATTTTAAGGTATGTAGCTGACATTTTAATATTACGACACCACACTTTTTATATAAACAACACTGTGATTAACATGAACAATCTCATTATTAAATCGACGCCTCGCTTCTGAATGCAGGTGACACTGTTTCTCATAAATCATTATTTTTAATAAATACTAGATGCGCCTTTTCGGTAGGATTGCATAACGTATCATAAAATGTACTCTCTAGATCCTTCGGAAAGCTTCAGATGCTCATCTCATCAACTTTTCTTTGTAAACTCATGTAAAGTTTACAATTTTGGGGGGCTGGGTTAGTTAGTATGGAAAGGCATTGCCAGTTTACCATGGTGCATCGCTGATGTCCCGCATACTTTTACCTGTGCTGTACCTTACCTGCAACATTATAATAATTACTGGCAGCATTATAGCCACGGTGATAGCCGCATTTAGAAACATGGTCTCCCTGCATTATCAGTATTATTCGGTATATTTTAAAATTTTCTCTTTTAAACTTCATACAAGTCCTACTTTATATATTCGGTATGCTGTATATCCAAAGGAATTTTATGAGAGAGTAAAGATTACTTTGCAAGTGGATATGTTTTCTGGGAATTTACTTAATGCTAAGCTATTACACGTATTTATAGTAACATTAATAATAAAATACTGAAGTAGGTATTTACAAATGCTTAAAAATTAAATAGAAGTCTCATAAAATAGCTTCCACAGTAAACTAAGAGGAATAAAGTTGAAAATCATTTAAGTAAACGAGATTTTGAAATTAAAAACAGTCTAGAATTAAAGCTTTGAAAAAAAAAAAAAAAAGAACACATTGAAGTTCATCATATATAAATTTTCCTTAGCCTAATAATATTCAACACTTTAAATCAATAGAATTACTTTTGACAGTATCATGCCATATATGATTTGCACATCCATGTTTTTGAAACAAATTGCTCAAAGAAAAACGATAGCTTTCAGTTTTATTTATTTTCTTTACAATAAATCTAACCTTAACTCTATTTATCAAGTGCACACTTCGTTTCTTTTCAAATATATAGGTTAAATTGAAGTGCTTATCTTCGAGATATATTATGTATCGAGAAGATATTATGTATCTTCGAGACACGATACATAATATCTCATCTCACTGATTTTTGATTGTCACTTTGAATCAATAGCTATATTAGGCTAGATGATTAATGACTGCATAGTTTAATATTTACAATTCACAAAAAATTCGCACACTTTGTAACACCACAATTAGAGTGTTTACACATTTTTAGAATGATATCGATAAAAAATTTAAAAAAAAGGAAATGTTCTGGAACAAATGTCCCTTTCAGCGAAATATCTTCTACTTTTAAATTCATTCTTCTTTCTAAACATGTAAAGAAGTTGCGAAAGGAAGTATCTGTGTTTTCCGAACAGAAATATACCTATTCTAAAATTTAAAAAATGTTGTGAAATGCACGGTATTAAAATTTCTAAGTGCAAAATAAGCAGTATTATTAATCGGAAAGTTAAAAATCATCTATCATTACTTTTTGATGGGAAGAAGACTCCAGAAGAATACCCGAAAAAGGTACGCATTGCTTCTAAAGTTAAATCGTTGGCAGCAAAAATTGTTGGTAAAATTTCGTCGACGCAGAATTGAAACGCAGAATTGAGTCTTTACATACATCTGTAGCAACAATAAATAAAATGATAAAGATTTACAAATTAAAAAAACTAAAAGCAAAATGTTCACTAGCTTTTCTTGAGGCTTGCGGCTCAACGCAGTAATTTGTACAACCCTGAATGAAAACATTAAGCAGGATATAAATGGAAATACATTGCGAACCTCAATGAAGCATGGGTTTCCCTGAATGACTGCACTAAGCAAAAGGTCTTTTTATTATCTAAAATGAAGAGTAAAAAAATGTACAAACCTGGTTCATTAAAAAATTAAAAACAAATTAAAAATAAAAAAGGAAATTAAAAATAGGAAATAAACAAAAAATGTTGAAATTAACGTGCTATCAAGGGAATGTTTTATATTCGATATTCATAGAAGAAATTCCATTTTTTATCCCAATGATCAAAATTCATCAAAACAAAGCAACAACTCATTCTTCAAAAAATACCACTGAATTCCTTGAAAATATGAAGACTGATACAGGTATAGCATTTACATGTTTTTCAAAGTATTCCGGCGAAGCCCACTGATGTTCCTCCTATGGACTATTGTTGGTTACTCCTATGGAAAAGAACTCTTTTTTTATCACAGACCCACCACGTTTGATGTTTGACAGACTTAAGAAAATAGTGGAAGATGAATGGAAATCAATACCCCTGGTCTTTTTATCATAAAGCCCTTTTATCATGAAAATCATGATGCAGACTTAAAATCCAGAAAAAGGCTATGAGGGCAATTATTTAAAAAATACTCTTTATGTTTTAAACATTAATTAAACAGTCCCGAAATTGCTCTAAAAATGTGTAAACAACCTCTGTATTTCACATAATGTTTCGTGATGAACATAAAATAAGTTTCTGGCATTATGAATACCATTTATTATTACTATAATTATATTATTATCTATACTTTACTATAATTATCTATACTTTACTATAATTATCCACTTGCATATTGCAGTAGCATATCCTTTAGCAGAATACACAATATAAAGGGGTAAGCTGATATTTAAAGGAAATGATATTCCTTTGCTATTTTTTTCAAGTCACTTTTTAGTCCAAAGGGGCTTTTTCCCCGAAGGACTATTGTTTTCGTTTTGCGATTTTGCGTTGAATCACTATAAATGTCCGTTTCACTTTTCAAACTGCTGCCACCAAATGTTAACAGTCCTGCATTATACTTGAAGAAATTAAATAATGAAAAATCTACATCAACAGATGTATATTTCTCTCATTGGGATAAAACAACGGTACATAGAGCCATCGAATTTTGAATGACGTAACCCTCCTACGAATATGGTCATGTGGAAGACAAATTTGAAATTTGGAATTTGTTTTATGATCGATTTCATATTTTGTATAACTTTTTTTGAGTAACAAACTCAACGATTTAAAAGCGAGCCATGGCAACACTCTACGGGGAGGGGGAAACCTTTTTATCTCCAGCGCGCGGAGCTGTGTATCTGAAAGATTAAAATAACTTTTTTATTTAAGTCTTAAATGAATGCAGGGTACTACTTTTGTGACAGATGAACTTCCGCTACTTGTGGGCTTATAATTTAAAATAATACAACTAACTTCAAATGTAGGTTATAAGGTATTTTCTCCTTCTTTCCAGCATGTATTCCTGGTGTAACGGTAGCATACTCTGCTCGGATTTGAGAGGTGCAGGTTCGAGGCCCTGGGAGGGCATTGCACATTTTTCACATCTCCTGCTACAAAACATCCTAAAAAGTGGCACTCGAATTAAAAGGTGGTGGATAATAATTCGTCACTACCAGGATTTGGCGGGTCCGCTAATCTCCAGTTGCCCTTTAAAAGGGGAAGTATATAAGGTATTTTCTCTCTCCTTCCAGCATGCCTTCGTGGTGTAACGGTAGCACAGTTGGCGCGTATTCGAGAGGTCCAGGTTCGAGTCCTGGCGAGGGCACTGCACACTTTTCGAGTCTCCTGCTTCAAAATAACCTAATGTCTCTACAGTACGACGTAGTTTGAGACTATGCACACAATAGACTGCTTAAGCTGACTCAAAATAATTAACGGCGCGTATTTTACACATCGGATAGCAAGATACGAAATCCGAAGTAACTTTGGTACAGATGGCGATGATACATAACTGCAATACTAGGCTGCCAGAAGCTCTCATCCTAAAACATTCAAATTCCCGGCTTAAGCACACAAGAACTAATTCGCATTCTGGTGAGGACTAGGGAAAAAAAGAAATAAATGTTCATCTTATATTAACTGGCAAAGTCCTAGAGTTTTATAATTAAATAAAGTGAAATAACTTACATAATCTGTCACACTCCGTTTCAGATTCTCTCGCTTCATCTCTCAGTATCCTGTCATCCGATGAATGAACTGCGTACATTATATCTTCATTATCGGACTCCGTACTTGAGTTCCTGCGGGTATATACATATATATTATCAGTTTGCAGAAACCGCTACTATAAATGTAAGCAGGGTAATCTACATTGGCAAAATTTCTATGTTAAAAATTCCTCGCACTCAAATAAAAAAAATTAACTTCGCATTTTGAAATGCTCATTTGTAATAAAGCAAATTTAATTTCAAGCCCCTGCAATAAAATGACATCTCACTAAGGTATGTAATTTTCGGGGTAGAAAAGCTCTTTAGAATGTATATAAAAGTTATGCTTGGGCAATGTTTACTACAGCCTAATTAAATATATAATAGGTCTTAAAGAAAACTAGTACTTTAATTGTAAACACTTTATTAAACATATCTTACTGTAAAATTAGGAAAAACAACAACCTTGCGTTAGGCATAGATTTTTTTTTGACATTCTCTCGATTTTGAGGGTGAATAGGTACAGGCCTACATATTTGTTTTTTTTTTTTTAATTTCCGAATTTTGATTTCTCAGTGTCAGATTTTCTCAGTCTCAGTGTCAGATGTCTCAGTTTCCGATTTGTTTGAGATTCAAGGCGTTCGTAAGACAAAGTTCCGTTATTCATTAAAAGCCACTCAGTCGGATAGTGGTTGGTAACTCTGACTGCAGTAACGATGGATCCAGGTATGAATCCCAAGCAGGCACCAATGTTTGTAAACGAATAATGTCTGTACAGCAAGAGAGCACTCAAAATATAACGCGAGCCGAGAATAATCTTGAATAATCTTTTTGGACAGGCTTCCAGAGCGTTCTTTCACAAACTGGAGTGGAATAGCTCAGTTAGTGCACCGGGACTGTACCTGTAGGACCTATAGCTAAATGCTGGCGCCCTGCTCACTTTTACCTGTATACCTGCATTATTAAAGAAAAACGTGCATGAGATAAACATTTGTAGAGTCATTAGGTTTTTTTCCGAAACAGGAGACGTGAAAAATTAGCAGTGTTCTCGTCGAGACTCGAACCTGCATTTCTCGAATATGTGGCGGACTTCTCGCCGAGTGTGCTACCGTTACACCACGAAGGCATGCAAAAATACCTTGTATACTCCTCCTTTTAAATGGCGATTGGGGATTTGGAGACCCAGTCACCAAATTCTGGTGGATGCGATTTATCGTCCACCAACTAATAATTCGGGCCCCACTATAGTGTCATTAGGTTTTCTCTGAGTAGGAGACCTCAAAAATGAGCGATGACCTTACCGGGACTTCTCGAATACGCACCAAGTGTGTTAAGTTACACCATGAAGGCATGCAGAAAGGAGGGAGAAAATACAGTTATAAAAATTAAAAGAGATTAATAACTGAGTTATTTTCTTAGAATCTCATAGTTTAAATTTATTTATACGTTTAAGCTGGAAACTCACTAATATTCATTGAATGCATGAATATATGGCTCTTTATTATCGTAATTTCCGTGCGAAAACAATTTAAATATTTGAAATCTTGTCGGAATTACCAAAACTCCACAGAGTGATACATATACAGTAAATGAGTTCAACCTAATGATACTTGTTACATTCCTTACCGTAAAATTATCTCAAATCCTTATTTTGTAAAAATACGCAGTACCTTTAAAACACACTTGTTTAATTTATAGTAAGGCACAACTGACTTTAAGGGGTTAAATTTAATTTATTGAAAGCGAAGGCCAATAAAATCATCTATTTTTGTGTTTATTAATAACTAGCAGACTAAAGTATGATAACTTAATGTTTTGATTTTATAAATTATTAAAGTTAATTCATTCATTTTTAAACATATATTTAAATATTATGCATTGTTTTTCTGTTAAATAATGTATTAGCGTCAAGAAATATTTCAGTATTAATATACCTGAGTATTTTTTGCAAGAATTATTTCAACCAATCTTTACATATCCTGAAATATTCCAATTACTGGGATAATTTGCAAATTTTGAAGGTATTCAGCGTGGAAAGGTCTTTTCATTATATCTAAAATCTCAAAGCATACCATGACATTTTACAAAAAAGGAAATAAGTTATTAGTGGAAAATAATGAATGTCTAAAGCAGTTCATTATTTTCTACTAATAACTTGTTTTCTGTTTTATAAAGTATGTTACGTCTTAACTATTCACCATGAGATTTAATAGCTACCTTGAGTTTCTTTTTTCTATTATTTTAAAGATGAAAAGAAATTTAGAAATTCTATACCAGATCAATTTTTTGCATTAAGGATACACTGCATAAATTTGTACTTACAAATAAGGATCAACAAATTATCTGACACAAATAGTTATCTGTAACTTAAGAACATGAAAATATTATAATACTAGTATATTCCAATTTTTAAATAAATTATTTAAACTAAGAATTAGAGACTCAGAAGATTAGTTAATTACAAACCGAAATTTTATTCAAAGAAATCAAAAGAAAAATAAAAGGTTAAATATGAACCATTTTAAAGAATTTGATTTTTGCACTTGAATTTAAAAACTGTTGAGGATAACTGGTAAACAGAACAGAGAGACTATTAAGTATTTCGGATCAGGAACTTATGCCTTTTTGCAGGATTCGAACCACGGATCTTCCAGTTTGCTATGTGAACGCGCTAACCATATGCGCCACTAGATCAGAAATTCTCAGCGAAGGTTTTTACTGACTTTCTGGGAGGGTCATTAAAATTTTAAAGCGGGGGGCAAAGATGATCAAAAATTCGATTTTTTAACTCGATGGCTGAGTTCGCAGTTTACTCGTCTGCTGTTGCACTCACTCCTGCTAACCCCCCTTTTTTAGCTTTTTATTAGGCTTCGTTTTCTTCGCACTTCAGCCACATACAATTCAACAACAAAATTACAAAATTTTTAAAAGCTGCATAGCAGGATATGTTTAGAATTCCCGATCCCTGTTTAAGTATTGATATACACTTTTCTATTTTATTTTTCAGGCTTTTCTCAGTTCGTATATCAGTTTTCAGTTTTTTAGTAAGATCGCTTACAAAACTTCTTTTTGCCTTTTTATTATTAACTTTTAGTGTTATAATTTTACTTATTAAATATCAAGCTATTCGGACCTACGCCATATAAATTTCAGTGCAACAAAACAATATTTAAAAATAGTATATCTTTAGAATTTTCGATAGATAGCCTCACGAGCTGGAAATAAAAATGCTATATTCCGTTACAGTGTTGCCACTGCTAGTTTCCAAGACGTCGAGTTTGTTAATCAAAAATTCACTAAAGGTTTACAAAATATGAAATAAATAATAAAACAAATTCGAAATGCGGAATTTGGGCTTCCAGGAGCACATTTTCCGGTGGAGGACCACATTATTCAAAATTTGATTGCTGTGGGTATAGTCGTTTTTTCACAAACCAAGGAACATACATATGGGCAAATTCTTCATTACTGAATTTCTTTTAAAATAACTTAAATATTTGGTGGAAGGAAATTGGAAAGCAATTCGCCGTTTATAGTGAACCAGAGCAAAAAGTCCCATTTTCGAGACTAACAGGCTTATTTGGACTAAAATAAAATATATAAAAAAATGATAATTATGTATCGATATAAAGCTGCATCATGCAGTAAGGAAGAAATCACATAAAATAAATGTAAGGCAAAAATACACTAAAGGTATTTTGTATGTTTTAAAAATCAATAATAGTTTTTAAATATATACATTTTTAATACAATAAGTGTTATATAGGTAAGTGAAACCCAGGAACACAAGAACACACAATCATAAAAATATGAAGAACGCAAAACTAGAAGGAGATACAAAAACAGACTGACAATGTTTGAACCTGGTGATTTAAAAATTAAATTAAACAATTTATGAGATATTTTCTCCCTTTCTGCCGCGTTCATTCGTTGTGTAACTGGACAGCACGTCTAGGTAACGTTGGAAAGTCTGGTGTTCGAATCCCGGGGTGGACATTGCACGTTTTTCACGTCTCCTGCATCCATAAAAACCTAATACCAGGCGAGGACACTACATATTTTTTACGTCTCCTGCATCGATAAAACCTAATGACTCCACAAAGTTAATGCCAAGTATTAAAACATTGCATCAATACATCAAGCGCAGACATCACATTAATTAAAATGGAATTTTCATGCAATTAGAACTTGTGATTTTGTTTCTAAAAACTTGGTTATATTTGAAAATTGATAATAATAATATTACAAAAAATGATTAAATGTAAGACTAATAAATCAATTTTTCAAGATTTTTGTTTACTTTCTTTACTTTATTTGTTATCTTTAAATTATTCACGTGCATCAGTTAAATTATAATTATTTCTAATACTATATATTATAAAGAAAAATGTAATCAATTCCGATGATGCACGGGGAACTGTGATAATACCTTTCTTTCTGTCCTGCTTAAAGAGCTGCCGGAGAGAGGCATGAGACACAGTCCACCTAATACCCGTCGTCACGAATTATAATCCCTTACTTTTATATAAGTACGCCACTATAAAAATCCTTCAGATCAGGAAAACTGTAAAGTAAACTGCATCGAACAACTGATCTTCCAGTTAGCTAGCTGGACATGCTAACCATTTATAAATACAGCAGCACATATGTAGGAGAGTAGAAAAATCCCTTACAGCTCCTAAGTAATATTTTTGATATAAACTAAAATCCAAATCAGGGTCACTAAAGTAAATTGTTGTTATCATTAAAATTTCAATTAACGTTTCTATCATCAGAAATGCATTGAAGAACTTTAAGACTTTTCCAATAACTTAACAGTTGCGCACCATATGCATAAGTGAATAATTATGAAGTAAGCAAGGAACAGGAAAAACGTTAAATTAATTTATTATTTCACTTTTTAAAAGCCCTTTTATTCATTTTTCACCTTTATATTTCACCTTTGCTAACACGCTTTAGGAAAATTTTAATTTAATGTTTTTTTTCCTAAAATTATTATAGGAATTTTATTATGAACATTTAATCATTTTAGAATAAACCGTAAAATCCTTTACAGCACTCAAGAAAAATTATGATAGATTTTAATTTATTATAGAAAATTTTAATTTAATGTTTTTTTCCTAAAATTATTATAGGAATTTTATTATGAACATTTAGTCATTTTAGAATAAACCGTAAAATCCTTTACAGCACTCAAGAAAAATTATGATAGAAACTAAAATGAAAATTAGGGTGACGAAATTAAGATATTTTTATCGTTAAAATTTCAATTAACACTTTTTTTTTAATCCAACAGAAATATATTGAAAAATTGTAAAGACTTTCTTAGTATCTTGAGATTTTCATATTATGTGCGTGAGTCAACAATTATGAAGACAATACATACTCTTCTAATATACTGTATATACTGAGATTTCCATGATAATAGTTTGGTATAATCTGAACATGGAATTTCTCAAAGTCTTAATACCAATATACGCATTTAATCACCAGTTAAATAAAGTGATAACAAGCATTTCTTCTTGTTGTTGTGGCTAATCCCCTTGACCTAACATATTCTGAATTGCGTCCATGAATCCATTGTGGGAAGATAAAATGAGCCACACATATCTTTGGCAAACTCTTTCGGGCACCTCATGGGTGATAGTATGTCTTTACCTAGAACTATCCTAATTTTAATACAGAACATACCAGGATACGGGCTCAAGGCTCTGTTAGCCCAATATCTAATACCACTAACCTCTCGAGAGAATTTTCGTCTCGAGATTATGTTAAGAGCCCCATGATGCAAAGACATTATATGAGTACATTTACAAACATCCATGTCCTTTTCGAGATTCAAATCTGGGCCGAAGGCTACCAAAATTTAAGATTATTATTATAAGGGTTGATGGTATAATGAAGGATTATTATAAGGGCTGGTGATTACACGGAAAGCTCCGACGGCAAGCTGTCTAAAACATTTATCACAAGAAAGTAAAAAGTATATAATAATGAGTCCAGCTATTGTCATTTCATAAAAATATTTGATCCCTCGAATTACACATCTCACGATTAAAATTTATTTTTATTTAAATCAATCAGATTATAAAGTAGAAAAAATAATTTCAAGAACTGCGCTTGCTGTTTTTCAATCACTTGGTTTGCTACTCAGTAACGGAAAGGTTACATTTGAAAGTTAAATATGTTAGGCTTCACTGAACGGCAAGACGTTGGTAAGTTGAAATAATAAGTATTTTATTTGAGGCAGTGGCAAAATGTTGCTTTTAAAGAGCCGAATTTATGGATTAAAATTGGAAGGTTACATTCTTAAATTTTTTTCAGACGGCCACAATCTGGCGTGCTGAAAAACAATGTTTTATTTCTAACACTGTTGCCATTTCTTGCTTTCAAATCGCTCAGCTTGATAAATGAAAATTCATTAAATTTGTACAAAATATGAAATAAATTAAAAACAAATTGAAAATTCAAATTTGAGATTTGAGGTGCCCGTGTTCGAATGGAGAACTACATGTAAGAAAAATTCGGTGGCTCTTACATGCCGCCGTTTTTCCCCAATGCAAGAAACATGCATACATACTTTCATTATTAATTTTGTTTGATAACACATGGCAATAAAGTTTGGTGGCAACAATTGGCAAAGTGATTCGGACACAAAAGTGATACGGACAAAAAGTGAATTTCGAGACTAATAGCACCTCTTGTGCAAAAGCATGTACTGTAAAGCATGTATGCTCTTGAATTTATAGTGTCTAGAATCTGTTTAAAGAGAGATGTATATTTAGAAACTGTATATTGTAAATCTGATGTCTTGTAAATCTGATGTACTGATTAATCTATGCTTTGTATTAAGAAAAATACATCTTCCGTTTTCCTCGTTCAGATGAGATAAAACAATTTTAATACTTCTATCTTACCGTTAGGAGACTTAAATTAAAAAAAGGTATCATACACTGAGACAGAGAAATCAGTACAAAATATTCGAAAAATCTCCAGAGGCTGTAATGCGACATTACCCATCTCCAGATTCTCTCCAAGATCTCTTTTTCTCATGTTTTCTTCTGCTTCTTTCTGAAACCCCGTAAATAACTCTGTCCCTGTGAGACCGTAGCTCAACGCCTGCGGGGAAAGAAAAATATTGATTTTAAACCACAGAAAACATCCGTTAAGATACCACAACACAGAGAAAATGCATTCACCTTTAGGAAGGTTATAGCAAACTTTATCGCGCTAAAAGGATTTTCACTTTCTTCATAAAGTATTTCAAAGGGACAAGAGGCTGGTACACTGCAAAACTATTTAAAAGTTATTCTTTTCTTTTATGCTTATACATCTGCTCTTGCAAAGATTGGACTGAGAGGGAAACCGGATAAAACCTCTCTCTTATTTTTGTAATGATATTATATGACGACTTTCGAAAGCCGAAACTGGTCATTAAGATACTTTATTGTTTGTTCCCCTTTTCGAAAAACTCCTTTGAGTTTGTAATGGGATAATACACCTTCATTTTTACTCATTATTTTATTTGAAATTTATTTTTGCGCAATGCATTTGCTTCTCTTTTGATCCCCGGATGTTACCATTCTACTGTGTTGAGATGTAACCACAGTTTTATGTCATTATTGTACTGCTTACAAATATTTTTGCACGTTTAGCAAACGAGCATAAACTATTTATATTTTTTTACTATGCCATCTGCTATGCAATAATGAATGAGCCTAAGTACCTTTATCATTTAAGATGCCACATTCCTCATTTAAACAAAATCATAGAAGTTCCTTCCTCTGTTACTATACCTTGATTTATGTTGAAAACAGCCTTCCTCTGATTGTATGTTAAAAAGAAATGATTTTAAAAGAAAACGCTTTATTTAAAATACATATATTACTTATTAGTTATAATTAATACTTACATTTGTAATTGTAAATTATTAAATAAATTTACTGTAAGTGAATAACCTCAGCATACAGAGTTAGTTACTTGTCACTCAGTTAATCACTGTTTTACTTGAAAGTTTCCACATTAAAAATCATCAGCTCGCGCATTAAGAAACATATTGCTGTATAAATACATATATCTATATTCATCTATCTAAAAATCTGTGTAGTTATATATACATACATATCTATTTAAATTAAAAATAAATGAATAATCTATTTCTTATTACCAGGTTACAAACAAACAATTAATATAAGACATTAATTAATTACTAATTCAGAAGTCAAACAACAAAAATAAGAGAGAGGTTTAATTTATGGGGAATTTTGGATTTTACTGATTTTTAATTTCATTTCTTTTGTGTCTTTGTAGATTCGATTCTAAATGTCTTACTTTTTGTTTACGCATATATATATATATATATACGTAAACAATATATATATATATAGTGCAATATAAAAGAAATTGTATAAAAATAAAAATAGTTTTCAGAAAAAGTTGGGGATGTAAAACGTAAATTTTTATCAAGTGCTAAATGCAAATTCTGCAAAGGAAACAATCATATAACAGACATATTCAATTTTTTTAAATTTAATTATATTTTAATTTAATGATCGTGATTTTGTGAGTTATATGTTGTAGTTTGGAATACGTTTGAGTAGAATACGTTGAGTATTTCCAAGCATTTTCGTGAAATTTTTCTAATTTATGAGAAAAAAAGTGTATATGGATACAGTGAAGAGTGTGCGCAATGCCATTTTTGTGCAATCTGGGATGTTTTTTTAATAAAAATAAGTCGACGTTGTACCATGGTTAGTGATATTTTAATTAAATGATTTATTTTGTGATTTTATGTTGTAGCAATTTGGTATCGTTTTCAGTGAAAAATTGTATCGAAAAATTTAAATATTGACACTAAGTATTTGTACTATTTTTAAGTTTGCGGTAAAAATTCGTTGGTGACGTTATAATATAATAGATATTTAGAGGTAAAGTTTTGGATATTTTATTATTTTATACGTAGAAAGTTCATCCTTGGAAAGGTATATATTTTTCGCGATCAGGTAATTTCATATATGTGCTTTTACCGAGTTAAGATTCAGAAAATTTCCTGGCATTTTCGTGCAAATTTTGTATTATGAGAAAATAGCAGTGTAGCATGGTAAAGTTAAGAGTGTGTGCAAATGCCGTTTTGTGCAATTCTGGGATGTTGTTTTTAGTAAAAATAAGTCGACGGTAAATGGTTTATGTGTATGTGCTATTCTTAAAAACGCAAGGAGTTTGCGATTGTGCACTTTTTTTCCCAATTTTGCAGTTATATTTTCATGATTAAGCAGTTTTGTTCATAAAATTTCTAGCATAAGTGTAATTCGCTAGTAGATTGTTGGAAAAGTGTGAGTAATAAAAGAAAAGAACATGTCTTTACTTCGTGAAAACAAAATGGCAGCGGGGAAAAAAAAAAAAAAAAAAAAAAAAAAAATTACAGGGTTGCTGTAGCAGAGTTGGTCGCCAAATTTTCGCCAAAAAATCGCCAAGTTACCATAATTCAAAGATCAACCGAGAAGTCTGCTGACAAGTCTAATGTAGCAAAATTCAACTTGCTACTTGTCAAAAATACGAGTAATATGTTGTGATTCAGAGTATTTTTAATATTCTAAATTTCAATGCCGTAATCCTTAACGAACTCCAAAGACACTCTCTGGACATCTCTGGCCTTTCTGCGGCATCATACGCATAGTTCAAATCGAAAGTCCTATGCTTCATTGCTGCTTCCAAATTAAGTATCAAAACACACACAAAAAAAGAAGAAATAATTAGCGTCGCAGCGCCCTCTCGTGTAAGACATGAAATATTTTCTTCTGAAGTATATTTGACTGTTTAACAGTTTGATACATATGGGTATTTAGATTCAGGCTGTGGCTAAATTATTTGGCTGGAAATAAATGAATCATTCCTCGCTAAAACTCACATATGACACTAAGTGTCATTTTCTGTATATGAATATATTGTTATTGACTAAGTATTCAATGAAGAAGCGAAAAGTAAGCCCAAAGTAAGTGATGAAAAGGCGAAAAGTAAGCGCAAAGTAAGTGATGAAGAAGCGAAAAGTAAGTGCAAAGTAAGTTATGAAGAAGCGAAAAGTAAGGAGTGGCACTGGCTGAACTCGCCGACAGGTGGCAAATTATAATAAGAAAAAGATAAAACCATGTGCACGTTAAGCAAAAATCTTAGTAACAGAAAGTACTATGTGGGAAAACTAGTTAAAATATTTTGAAAATGTGGTGATAATGAATAATATAAAAATTCGCTTTTACTAGCCCCCTTTTTAAGCTAAATGCATTTTAATGCTCGAATACACAAAATTTATTCTAAGAGTAGAGAATAAACCCGTAAATTATAAGAAATACTAACGTCACATGAAAATTTATTATGCATATTTGTGGGATTATCGAAATGTGGAAATATCAGAAAAGTGGAAGTCCCTGAAAATGAAATAAAAATATTAAATCTTAAGATAATTTAGAAAAGCCATAAGAAGGACAGCATAATTTATTATGTTTTATCTTAGAAAAATATGGAATTCGGATACACATGCACAGCATTCACCTTTGCATATATTGTGACGCTCTGAGATGAGTGGGAATGTCGTTAAGACATGATTATTTTAAAAACTTAGTGAATTTATAGCTATGGTTTAAATGAATTTTCGATTTCAGTATTTTAGTCCTTTTCCATTTGAGAATAAACCTCTTCAAAGTAGAATAAACTGTTTTTCCACACGTTGGTGTGTCTAAAAATGTTCATGCGTTGAAAATATGGTTCTCAAATGTGCAGATAAGATAAAGTAAAGGTTTAAGTAACGTAAAAAATATAATCGCAGACTTTAAAGTCTATTTGATAAGCAGATTTCATTCCATTACTTTAGTGTAATTATATTGATCTAATTGAAGAGAAGCACGCTAATGTAAAAATAAAATTATGTAAAAATAGCAACTTGAAATTGGCGAATAAAACTCATTGTATTATAAAAAGTCAAAATCTACGTTAATCTAAGAATAAAAAAAAAGTAAACTATTTTTTTTTTTTTTTTTGCACAGAATGTTTCTCAAGTCTATCATTGTGCACTGTCGTGTTGAAAAATGTGTAATAAACAAATAAGAACTTTCAAATGCACATTTAATTACCATAAGCCATTAAATATCTGTTTCGTAGATAGTCACATGAGGCTTGTGAAGGATCTGTATAAAATCTCTTGTTTCTGCATAAAATCTTGATCTGCATAAAATTTTTGTTTCTTTAGTTGTGCATGCACAACAAATCACAAATAAAATCACAAATAAAATGAGGCAAATCTCTTCTCAATCGAAATGCGCTTAACCAACACACTGCTTAAGCGAAATGAGTACTGGATAGGGAGTCCGATAAAAATAATTTAGAGACTTCTTTTCATATTTTACTTCAGAAATAAATCCGCATTTTGTATTACCAATAAGTGACCTCAAGCAAGGAAAAATAATGGACTGAGAAATCTCTGTTCAAGAGAACCATTGTTGAAGCTTTCGTATATAGTGAGGGAGTTTTGTCAATTAAAATTAAAAAAAAATCACCGAACGTGGAAGCACTGGGGAATCTGTAAAATTGAACAAACCTTTCCTTGCATCCTCAGAAATTAAATTTTCTATTCCATGAGAAAATGTACCAGTTTTAGGGTCTAGTACGCTTAGCTTTCAGGAAATGTAACTAAATCTACCTAAGTGTTGTTCTTTGCGAATTCTCACACAGGTTTGAAGATGAACACAACCATGAAAAAGACCCTTTTATTGAGCACAAAATATTTAACAGAGGGCACGAACTTACGTGCTCACGAAAAAAAAAAAAAAAAAAAAAAAAAAAAACATTCACCACTTTCGGTGAAAACTTAAAAGATAGCGTAACACTAAAGTTAAACGTAAAGAATAGTACGAGACTACACAATTCAATTTAAACTAACCTATTGACTCTGAAACTAACACCGTCAAGATACTAACTCGACGGCAAGAATGTTATTAAGATTAACAGCTGGTAGAAACTAACAAACGTGCTCTCACAGTAGCGAAATCACGCTTTGTCTAAGCTCTTCGCTCCACCAATTTAAATACTCTTGTTCACCCTACTTTATTTACAACCTGGCGAGAAAACGCAAGGGAAAATAAGAGAAATCAGTGGAGGCTCAAAAATAACTATTAGTAAAAATGAACAGAACCCCACGCAGTGAATGAAGATTAATTTTTATTGTTTTTTACTATTTATAAAAATAATTTTTATATTATTTATAAAAATTTTTTACTGGAAATTCTTGTGCTGTTTAAGAGAAGGATTATTTACAGTCTGTATTTCATATTTTAATTATATAACCATT